TTATAATATTTAAATGTGGTTAATAATACATAGAATTACCTTCTAGCTCTTCTAATGAGGACGTTTCCTTAGCATCCAAAACTGACTCTAATGTGAATGTGAATATATTAAAATCTAGAAAATCATCTAACCGTTGCCCTTTATTCTTTTTTTTTTGTTTGGTGAAAATATTTTTAAGTTTTTTTTTTTTATTAAACTTTTACCTTTATTGTAAATATCAGACATTTTTTAATTTAAAAGTTTTATAAAAATAAAAATAAAAATAAAAATAAAAATAAATAAATTTTTTTTTTTTTGCAACACTTGTATAATGGTGGTGTGATACATATTATATGTAGATCTTACCGCAGTATATGAGGAACACTTTAAATAGTCTCGATTTTTTATATTTTTGATTGTCAATGAAATCTTTCGTAGTAAAGTTCAAGGAAGAAGCTATCTTCAAAAGGGTTTCGGCTTTCGATATTTCGACTAAGCATATAGAATTTTAAATCGAAAAAATGTACTTTCTTTTAAATTAATGAAGGGAAATTAGACTTTGTAGAATTAAACGAGATGTTTCAAAATTAAGTTCAATAATTACCGCAGCATATAATCACAATTTTAACATCATAACGGATTCAGATCGCAATAACGTAATCGTGTATGATTAAATGACTAAATGTTGCTATTTGATCCAAATTATAATATTTAAAAGTATTTGTAAAAATAAAAAAATAAAAATAAAAAAAAAATATTAACAAGCAGAATTCATAAATTAATAGTGCTAAATATTAGTATTCTTCTATAAGTCAATAATAAACCTTTAGCTGATTAAAATATAAAACAAAAAAAAAATTGTCCTTAATTAAATTTCAAGTGATCGGCATCCTCTAATAAAATCGATATCGTATCGTACAGGCCGAGTCTGTAATATCAGAATTTTGGAATTCGATCGTCAATGCCGCAGCAATTACACAAAACGTATAAAGTTTCTATGTTGAACAAGAAGGTAAAAAGAAAGTCAGGAAAAGTTAAAATACATTAAACTTTCTATTTAAACGCGAATTATCGTTTTCTATTATAAAATATAGCAAAATGTCTACGCTACACTTACTGCTTATTATTCAAACCTTACCTTTCTAAATGACTTACTTCAACAACAACTTGACGATAACATCGAGCTACTTAAGGAGAAAGATGAATTCGAATACAAGAAACTTCTCATAACCGCAGTGATAGCTGCTAACACAATTCTTCAGTTCCCTAACAAGAACTGTTCGCTAACCTTGATACGGTAACATTTTAAGCAAAAACCATTGTTTTCATAAGTTTCAATAATTATGATATAAAATGACAGTCAATAGACCCGTCCATTGCTTTACTGGTTAAACGGTCAAACAAGCTAATAACATATTACGTTTTGGATTTCTTAAGCCAAGGAGTTTAAACTTGAAAGGTTTAACATAACTGTAATAACTCTACAGTTGATTTTTTGTGAAAATCCAGAGAATGGTTAAATATGAGAGGTAATATTTCATATATATAAATTCATGATGATATTGATTAATTTTTATCCTCAAAGAAAAAATAGGTTCGGATAGGAAGTTATGATATTCTTATTAAAAAATTTTTCTACATTTCCTTGAAATTCAAAATTGATGTAATGTTCAATTAGCAGGATTAGCTATAAGTCAGTTACCATTACCACAATGCACACCATCTTCCATATTATTAGAAAAAAGAAGTTTCTCAGGTAATGTCATTTATACAATTGCATAATTATGTTTTCATAAATACATCTTGAATATGTAAAATATTGAAGCGTTGTCATGTATTTGATGACTTCTAATACTATGTTATTAAAATTTAGACTGGTCAAGTACTTAACCCACAAATGGCTATGAGGAGTCCTTCACAGAATCAAGTTACATCATTTCAAAGTTTTGGCGTAATTGGATCGAAAAATGAGCCAAAAGATTTCTCAGTCGATCACATTTCAAATAAAGAAATTAAAAAAAATACTAATGAAACTGGAGGCAACAAATCAATCCCTTTCAAATAAAAACTAAGGAAACGGTATAAATGACACCAAAACTCGAGGAACTTTTCTTAAACTTTTGGAAGCAACACATTCTGATAAAGAGACTAGAAAAGAAGATTTGAGATCAAAACATGTTATAGCTAGCGATGAGTCTTCCGTGTTGGATGAAAATAAAAATTCCAAGATTCAAAGAAAACTTCCAATCGAGGACGTTCAAGAAACTTTCTGGAACGAAATATTATTTTCCAAAGCCGTCATTTTGAATGACCGCAAGGTGGTAAAAATAAATAAAACAATTTCTTTATCGAAATTGTACTTTTCCTGATTGGTCATGTTTCTAAGTCTCCAGTCCATAATAAACATGACATATGTTATGGCCTTCCTAAAGAGCGTAAGTATCTGTATTTTAAATTTTAACAGTTTCATAGCGTTATTAACATTTAATTATTAAATGTAATTTTTTTTTTAGACATCTTTAAATTTTCTATGAAAGATAATATGTCAGGTACCGTGATACGTTTTAACTTCCAAAGCAATTTGGCCTCAAAAACGCATTCGCTAATGAAGAAAATTTATCTCCCGCATCATAATGATAAATGAATAGGAAATTTTCTTAATTAGATCATATATTAAGCATCATAACACTAACTGTCCAATCTTCCTTAATAACTGATATTATAGTATAATACAATTGCATTAATTATTAAAATTTATTAGGTCAATGACGAAAAAATGCGAGCAAAATCGGTATCAAATTTCAACAATTATATTATCAGGTAATGGTTTCATATTAATCTTGAAAAAAACTAAATTAGTGATTCTTATAAAGAAATATTTAATGGTTATAGGTTGCAAAGTTTGTTCAGAATGGATTTTATCATTCGACCAGAATTATGGTGTGACAAACATAATAAAGCATTAATTTATAAAATGGTCAAAGCCTTTATTGAACGAGGTCCTTCATGGTTTTAAGGTTCGTCTCACATTATCATTTATTTTGTTTTGTATATAAGGATAAAATTTTGACACAAATGAGAAACCTATATTCCCAAATAATAGATCAAGGAATGTGAAATGCTTGTGCCATCTGGTAGTTTAAAATCTTACAATAGAGAAGAATCGTTGAAACGAACTGAGATATTGTATGAATTTATCTGGTGGATTTTTGAATGATTTATTATTCCACTTCTTAAGGTAAATGAAGTCATTTTCCAGTAAATTATTTTCTGCAATATATTTACAATATCTCTATTTGATTTTTTCATAGTTAAACTTTCACACAACACGCATTGCAACGCACAAACAACGGTTGTTCTACTATCGACAAGAAGTATGATGTCAGATGTCTTTGGAGGTTTTGAATCCTTGACAAATTCTGTATTTGAACAAATTCCAATTTAAAGTTTATTCCGAAAGATGATAAATGAAAGCCTATCGAAGTTTGATGAGTAAAACTTATTTCATTTTCATTTCTTTAAGATTACGAACTTAATATCGTGTTTAATTTAAGGTTACCACTAACGTATGAAGAAGTCACCATCAATCAATGCCATGTTAAATACGATTTGTCAAATTTTGAAATATGAAATGGTGAAAAATATTAAGCTTAATTATAAATTTATTTTGGTTAAAAATAATAAATATTCTCTTTTACTTTTACTTTAGAAAAAAACCCATCATTATTGGCAGGATCTGAGTTATAAATGATCACTTAAAAAGGTATAAACAATACTTGCTTTTTTTGCTAAATTGATATTAAGAGCTGTTTTGAAACAATCGATCACGACATGATCACGAAAATCATACTTTCCGTATACTACAGTATAATAATTATCATTTAATAATAATAATGTGGGTCATTTGCTATTAATATCAAGTTTCAAATCTTTATGACTCTAATATGGTTTTAATAGCAAACTTTTTGCATTACAATCTTTTTTGTCTTTATTAGAAACAATATTTGGTAAATCGATATTTAGAAGTTCGTCCAAAAGATGATAATTTTCGTAAAAAGTATAATTATCATATTCATAATGAGGTAAATTTTTTTCGATATAATAACTATGAAAATTACTAGTTTAGTTTGTTTACAATAATCCCTATTAAAGGAATTTATACTCTTTCCAAAATATGCTATTGGCCCAGAGATATAAGGATACAATTCTTGTTGATAACGTGAAAGAGTTTATGCGGATCAAGAAGAAGTACTTGCTCGGTTGGATGAGCACATTGACAAAACATTATAAAGATGAATGAATATTTTAATTTTTTTTCTATTTTCTAAAATTTTAAATAATTTTAATAACTTACATTCCTTCACGTTAATATTTTGAGGATAAATACTATTTACAAAAGGTTGGAATTCCGCAAAGATCAAAGTTTTCACCGATACTTTGTAGCATTTATTATGGGGATTTGGAGCGAACCGAACTCCAATTTGTAAAGGACGGTGAAGGAGTAAACTTTGATTTGGAAATCTCAGGGTAGGCATGCTAGCGCTTTTGCTTGGAAATGATCATTTTTTAAGCAATTAATTGGAATTAACTTCAGAACGATCCCAAAAATAAAAAGATATTATAATTTTGGAAATAGAGCTAAATGAGATTCAATTTAAATACCTCCAAAAAGTAAAACTTCAAGCTAGAACAAAAAAACCTTACTACATTTTCTTTTCGTTACCAGATTTATTCTCAATTTTAGGACGATAAAAGAAATAAATGTTGCCACTTCCGATAAAATTAATCTTTCCTGGTAAATATTTATTGTTATTTATATTTTAATTTTTAATGTTTTATTATACTGTAGATTTTCCATGGTGTGGATGGCTCATTAACGCGCGAAATTTGAATGTCAAGATTGATTATTCGAACTACTTTCTCTCGCGTAAGTAATATTTAGATTGATTCTAATGAAATTTACGAATGCTTCTACTCCTGTTTACTAATAACATCAGATATTGCTAACACCTTGAACATATATACATCAAACCATGGGGAATTTTTAAAGCTAAAAAAGTTTGAGTAAGTGTAACTTATTCTAGAAAGCATTTAAAATTTAGTAAAAATTAATGCTCTTGTTATAATATTGCCTTGGTTTGAAAATATTTTGAAAAAAATAAATATCAAGTAAAAAAAGCAAAAAAAAGTAAAATTTCTCATCTGATCAATAATTTAATATATTTATCACGTGAATTATGCAAATTAAAAGATTCAATAATGAAATAAAAATTACTTCTTATGAGTGCTTGAGATTTATAGGCTATCCAGGTACGACTCCCATCGTGCAAAATATTGAGTGACTATTTGATGACGAGTTTCAATTTGAGATATAGTTGCAACGAGTGAGTTCTCCGAGGCAAGATGTCAATTAGGCACGAAGTATTAACTCAAATTTTTTATATCAACACTATTATTTACTATATGAAAAAAGTTCTTCAAGCAAGGCTGGAAATTTATAAAAAACAAAATTTAACGAGACACATCATTATAACATTTTTTTGACTATTGCTACCATGTTTTGAATATTAATCCTATCCGATACATATGAAATTTGATACTTGGCTGGTCTATAAAATTAGTTCAGTCAGAAACTGTTGTCTCCTTAACATCAAATGGAATCAAGAAATGGTCATTAACCTTACTACAAAGCGGATGGTGCGTATACCTCCAGCATGTTGGGGACTTCATAAAATAAATAACAGAAGAGATTTTGGAAAATAAGGAAGGTCTTATGCTACAGACAAGAAAAAATTGAGAAAACAATCGAACGTGATTTCTTATATTCAACTTATATATAAGATAATTTTAATTTTAATTTCTATTTACATATTGCATAGTCTGAAACTCGAACCAGATTGCTTATAGGAAATTATTCGGATTTAACTACGCTCAAATTCCCTCAGTAAAAAGTATGTACTGTTAGAATTCCCATGGATTTGCCTTTGGGCGAGCCAATTAATGATGACTATTGTCTCGAAGTGTTGCGGTCGTAGCCCTCAAATCCAGGGAACATTTAGGAAATAACTCAGCACGATATTTGCTAACATATTATAGATTTATAAATTTATTTTTAGGTTCGGTTTTTTTTTGGAGAATTTAACTTATATTTAAATCCTTGATAGATAGTTTTTACAACTGTATGTTGTTACCAAGCACACTTGATTGGTCCTTTGTGGTAAAGAATGGCTCATACTACCTCGAAGCGTTGCATTCGACGCCATACATATAACCCGATACAAGAAATGAATACTTTCACAGTCACATTTCATACAGAATCACGTGTTAGCACGAAAATGTATAGAAAATACAATATCTAAGACGAGAATTAATATTTTTTGATTCGGTCTTTGGTATATAGAAAACTATTGTCAATACGATACAACAAATAGTAATTAGTGTTATCTAAAATATCAAAGTTATATAAATATTCGAAAGAAATTATATTCTTCGCCACAAATATTAAATAAAATCATTTCCTTCCATTGACTGAAGATTCACTTTGTTTTTCATCCGGAAAATTTGAGGACAAGGCATTGAATAAAATGAATTGATTCGGTCATTATTTTAACAACTTATTATGACAGTTGTCAATTATATTTATTTTTTTTCATAAAAACTTGGAAAATTAATTAGCTATACTTCTTAAGTGAATTTACGTTGAATCGTTACGAAATTTATTTAATAATAACTACTTTCCTTTCTGTTATTAAAACGTCTTAAACCTCAACTAAAATTTGCAGTTTTCGAGGATTTCCCCCAAATTATTTATATAATACAAAATTAGATTATTAAAGATACGGATCAATGTTCCGAGTATAGCGGTACAATTTTTTTTTATCCTTAAAACATGTGGATTAGGAATTGGAATCGATCAAAAATGTAGAATTGATTTTAGAATCGACTAATTGCGATTTAATCGTTTATCAAGTTTCGATCTTTGACCGTAATGATTTGATCACTATTTGAAAAACTGTCTTCAAAAAAAAAATAATTTGTTTACCAAAAAAAACATTTTTCAAGAAAAAATTAACTTTTATCACATTATCACGAATTTGCTAATTTAAATATAATAGAATGGAGTTAAATCATTTCTAATTTCAGTTTTATGTATTTACTTTATTTTTTTATTTTTATTTTTTTAATTTTAGGTCCGAGCATATACGAGAAATGTGTTTTTTTTTTTGGTTTTATTATTTCAATTGTTATTTGTTCAATTTTATATTTATTTATTATTTTATAAAATTAATTTAATTAATAATTAGGAGCCTCTTTCTAATAGTATCATTTTCAGAAGTGTGGTATGTGTTTACTTTTTTTTTATCCTATGATAAAAAACCAAATGAATGGTTGAAGAATTTTCTACAGTTACAGCAATAATGGGTAGTTTCAAATACGTCTATTTTCAATATACCGGTTAATAATTTACATCGATAGGTGATTACAGATTGAATGATTCGGAACAATAGTTCCCATAAAATTATTTAAATTCTAGCTTTTTAATGATTCTACTCAATTTAAGTCCTAACTTTCTTAAATAAAAAAAATAAAAGAATCTTAAAAATGAATTTTCTATTTTAGGAAATTGTTTGTATAATATATTATCGACATATAGATGGAGCTGTAATTAATTTAAAATTTTTAACTAGTTGCAATTTTTTATATTAATATAATTTTACAAGGAGTTGCGACTTACCGAGTTGCAACTTCTTAATTACAGTACTATCTTCAGATATATGCATTATATCACTACTGCTTTCATTTCAAAAAATAAATATTATATGCGATTTGATGATTGTTATAAGAAACCAACAATTAAATAAAAAAAAACATGTAAACAAAACGATCGTTCATTGTGAATTTTGTGAATTTGTAATCAATTATGGCATAAAATGATATTTACCGGAACTTAATTTTATCATTGATTATAGAAGTACTGAACATTGTTTCATACTGGGGATCTTATTTTTGCTTCAAGTCATTTTTTGAATGTTATTCGAATTGACGCCCTCTAATATCTTTTTGGTAAATAAAATAATTATATTTGCTGCGTTATTACGCAATTACAATTTTTTTTGATAAAATTTAAAATCATAACATAAATTTTTAAGTTGATGTGTTACTGTTTACGAACGATTACTGATAATATTATTGGTCTATTAACTTCGGGGCATAGTTTATAATTTATCGGCATATAGTCAGATATTGTAAATTGTTCTCTGGCCAACTTGTCTCCTGGCCAAATTGTTTCGTGGCCAAATTTCTTCTGGACAATAAGTCCTTGTTAAAAATTAGGTATAAAAAGGTGGGTTTCGCTTGTAGTAAAATGCATGTGTATAAATAATAGGATTGCCCTCTTTTGTTATTATTGTAATTACACCTAAAGATATTGGTAACCGTGATAAATTATGAAGTCGGCTTATTCAGTCGCTAGACCTTTTTTTAGTCGACTCAGCCGTCGACCCTCATTTGAAATTAGCAGTATAATTAATATCTCCTTTTAAATGATAAGTTTTCAAGTTGTAACAATCCCATTCGAATTTAGAATAGCGAGTTTAATACAAAATAAAAAATTAAAGAATTTAATGTTTAATTACTTTATTTAGTTAGCTTAACTTTTTTATTATGCGCAGAATTTAATGGCCTAACTTTTTTTTCTTTTTGGTATGGTATATCAGAAAATTGTGAAATTAGAGAATATAAAATAAGATTTTTTATTTTTTACGCTTTTACGCACCTGCGTACATTGATAAAAATTTTAAAAAAAATGATATTTTTTTATATTGAAATTTTAAAATGCTAAAAAGATACTTGCTGACAAAATATTAAGAATATAATATAATACATACTAAAAAAGAAAAATCTAAGCCGGCAACCGAAGGGAGCCGTGCTCGTATCACTACTGTTATTCTTGAATTACTTTAGTGATACGAGCCATCAAATTGCTTTCCTTTTCTTTCTGTTAAGATTTGTTGGACGAGTTGTACAATTATGTCCATTATTATTGCATAAACTACAATGGTTTGGTTTATTCTTCCACTAACACCTTCATTAGATTTAGATGATTCTTCCAAAGGATTTTTGTATCTTGAAACTCCTGGAGGTTTTCTTTAGGACGCCTGATTATGGGATTTCCAAGTTCAGCATTTATAAAATTTGGATCACTCATTTTAATTGTAGTAAAAGATTATGAATGAGAAAAAGGATGGAAGGAAGAAAGAAAATATATAAAAATATAAACAAAGCGAAAGAGAAGTATGCCATTATTTAAGGGGAATCTTAATCTGTTCTGGGGGTACTTTGCAGAATATTTTCGAGTCGAAAATACATCGTGACCAAATCGAAAATATATTTCAAGACCATAACTAAAGATTTGGTCACGATGCATTTTCGATCTAATTGAAATCATCGGATGGAGTGATCGTAAAGAAATTGTAAATGAATTAATTAGTTTTGAATTTGTAAAGATTTATCAAATATGTATTAAATACTTAGTGAATGTTTTATTTCGAAGTTGTATATAAATCGTAAAGTGTTCTTAAATCTTTATTTAAGATATATTCTATTCTAAATCGCAAATAAATATTCTATTCGATTTTTATTCTATAAATGTTCTTCTATTTCTATTCATTTCTATTCGATAAATAATGTTATATTATAAAATGTTAATAATAAATATTAAACGGCTTTAAAAAAAATATAAGTTTCGCATATACAAATTATTTCCAGAATTGTGATCACCCCCGACGCATTCTTTTTCTTTACGACTATGAATAAAATGTGCAAAGTTAATTGCATTAATTAAATTAATGGAGAAAACTTTTCGCCAATTATTTGTCGTTCGTAACCTATATACCGGACAGCCTAGAGTGTTTCGATTTAATTCCTCAAACCAATCAATGATAATGAACACAAATTGAATATCGTTCTTTTTTATGACAGAATATAGCTCTTATAATCGCGAAATTTTCTCCTTCTTCAATATAGACCGATACTACGTCACCAATATGTAAACGACATAGAACAGTATTCCAATTTTCTTTGTCAAAGAGAAAACTTGCATACTCGAAGAATGACATCGCGCCGTAAAGTAATGCAGAATTATCTCCTAAATCTTCGTAAGCCAGCTTTAATTCTTCTTGGACATTCAACAATAATGATGAATCAACGTCTTTTCGAGGAATACGTTTCTTTAATGATATATTGGAATTCGTTCATCTGGAGAGTATACTTTTGTGATTGTTATAAAGTTAAAAGTAATAGTGTAAATAAATGTATATTAGCGTTAAATAAAAAATATAATAAAACTATACCTTCGTTTATATCGTCTATAATCTTTCGTAATGAACCAGTCACTCATCAAGCGTTGCAAATTTCTTGGAAGGTTCGAAAGCCACTGTTCGATGTAGAAAACCATAAATTTATACCACCGTCTAATAAATGTTGTATCGCAACTAAAATTATGTAATGTAATATATTCAAGGTAACGTTTTTTAGATTCGTACGTGGCACAACGTTCTTGAATATTCTGTGAACTATCTAACGCTCATATTCAATAATACCGCATAGTTCTTTGCATGCAATAGGAGAAGGAAATTGGTATGTAGGATTGGACAATTCTCGAAGTCTTTGAATGCCTGTTTGTAAATATTTGTTCGACATAATTAGTAGCAAGATACAATAAATGAATAAATAAACTTTAAACAAGTTGAATTTCAAACTGTTTTGTTTTGTTTTCGCTGTACATATCCAACATTTCAACCAAAGTTTCACAGCATGATCATTTCGGATAGATGTTGAAATGAAACACATTCTGAATTCTTAAAAGTATGTACGCCTCAAGAATCTATTAAGGATAAATGGAAACATTATTGTTAATTGCAAACAATCTGACATCTTAAAGCTATCGATGTGAGATATCGGATTTGATAATTTTCGCCAAAGCTTTCGGGTTTTCGAAAGACCTCCAAGAGCTCATCAATTCTTTTTTTCCTTCTGGTGAAATTGCTTCGATTGTAATTTTGAGAAGTCTTAGCAGTTTATCACCACAAGATGGTAAACGTCTTGGGGAGATTGTAAGTGACATTCCCATTTTAACTGATTAAGTATTAAAGGTTGCAATCGAAGTCCGTATTCAGTTGTAACTGTTTTTCATTCTGTAATTGTTGATGCTGAAAAGATTCTTCGAATTGCTTGTCTGTTTGATGATGATAATGAGAGACTATCTTCAAATCAAAGCCATCGGATGTCAAAGAATCTTTAGTCATGCTACAAATCATCTTTATTGGCACTGTGTCTCTTTACTCTGGTTAAATCGTTATCTTTCAATATGTCCGCGGTAATATTGCCAAGGCTTACAATTATGAGGCACTCTTTTTCTTGAACATTCATAATCATTTCTTTATCTAATTCTTTTATTTCTGCAATGAATGACTTGATAAATTCATCGAAAGAACCGCTTAAAGGAACGAAGCCGAGTATAAAATAATTCCTAAGCCGTATTCTTTCACCAAGGAGCAAGTTACCAAACTGGATGTAAGACACCATGATAAACATTGCGAAATGTGCCAAAGTCGTCAAAATGCAGGTTGATGTATAATTTGTGACCAGTAAGTTCATTTCAGGTTCTTCAAATGTCGCAAATTCTGAAGGATGTTTATAAGAAAACTTGACGTCTCTTTACTTCCAGTGTCCAATATACTTAAACAATTTTGCGAATTTTGATCGAATATAATTGACATCATTATCATAAAGAATAGATATTAATACGTGTCTTATAACTGATTATAATTCGACATCTTCGATTGACCATTCATTTATCGATCCATAAATTTCACCTCCCCTTCTTCTGGATAATTACTTTGCAAATTTTCTTGGTAACATTTCGTATCTTAAAATACGTTGAATCTTCATCTTTAATCTGCCATTTTGTTGTACAATTGCTAATATACGACCAAATCTTTTCATTCCACTTGATTCCTTGTATATTATGAAGTTTTCAGCATAATACATTACATTTTAAGCGATAATAGACCCTATCCAAATCTTGCTAACTCTTTTCAGATTTTTCCGTGCCAGAATTCTTTTTTTTTTCAACTTCTTCGTCTGGTCCGAAGTACATCTTGATAAATAATAATGGGTTGTTTAAAATGTAACAAAAAATGTCATTAATAGACAAATAATACACTTCTCTGATGTTTTTAGACATCGATGGCGTTTTCTTGTTAGAAATGTTAATTTGGCGAGATTTTATTAGAAGAAAAGGCAATCTTTGTCAAAACTTCCTAACCGGCGAACGTTTATTACAACGTCTTCAGTTTTGAATGAATTATATCCACTAGATCGTCATATGATCTTGTAGCTGGCAAATAAACAATGTAAGTTGTGTTTAATATCATTTAAAGTTTCATAAGAATCTAACTTACATATATGATGTTATTGCATTTAGCAAAAAAAAACAGCGACTTAGTAATATTCTTGAAGTATGTTGTGAAGTCGCCAAAGGTTCGTAGCATTTCTTCACTACTGAAAGATTTATTGATGATTTCTTCTTCATCTGAATCCTCTTCGCTTATTTCTTCATTATCATATCTATCTTCCATATCACCTTCATTTTCGTCTCTTTTGTCAAACTCCGTCATCACTCTTTCAGAGTATTTATTTTCGAGTTCTATATTGTCTTCGCTTATTTCATCATTTGTATCGAGTTCTTCGCTTACTTCTTCTGTTTCTATATTGTTGTCATTACTCTCTTCCACTTTTATATCAATGACGGGTGTCATCTTCATTATAAATATCCATATTACGATAACTTTCAGTGGCAACCGTATTTAACATCGAAGATATATTAAACGTGTTGTATCGTTGTCTAAAATAACTACTTTGACTGTTGTTAGGAGCATATCGAGTTCGAAACATTTTTAAAACGTGTGTGAAAATTTTTTATAAGTTTTAATAAATCAAAATTTTCCTTTTTATATAGAACAGCTTTATATATACAAAATATCACTTAAACAACCATTGTTAACCATTTATGGTACATGATTATAATAATTATTTGTTATTTGATTAATTGGTACTTAGACTTAAACGGAAAATGTGTCACATGAAATCAATCTATCATTCGGAGAAGGAAAAAGTATATTTCAGAGATAGAATCAAAAAAAATAACCCCATCAAATGCAAACCCTTTTTGTTATATTTATTTTGTTCTATTTACGTTAATATAGATATTAAAAAAGTCTAATTTATTTTATTGAGTTGCGTTAAAACAATATTATAAAAGAGTTTGATTGTATAACTATAAATAAACTAAAATAAATTCAAGGTTTATTTATCCAAGAAGTACTACCCGAAATCAATAGAAAAAATACCTTTATTACTAATAATGACGAAGCTAGTGAACCTTTAGGTAATAACTTTTTGCTTTAAAATTATAATACTGAATCGGTTTCTCAAGTTTCTTTTTAGTTCCAAAGGAGAATCAAAAATTTAAAGCGTCAAACCCCCTACAAAGAAACGAGATCGTCCAAAGAAGAACGAGAAGCCTTTCAAAGATGATGTCTGAAAAATGGTGGTGGCAGTTCCTAATAAACGTCGTCAGAAAAAAGACCATGTGAGTAAGCAAAAGTAGCAAAATGAATCCATCATCGAATTCGATGATGAAGATGATCAAGAAACGGTTCCTGCTAAACGTCTTCAAAAGGAATCTGTAATGATCAAGAAATGGTTCCTGCTAAGCAACTTCGAATGGAACCTCCTGTAAATGATCAAGAACAACCAGTTGTTGAAAAAGATACTGCTAACCATTCTCGATCAACAAACTTTTAGAATTAAGTGATAATAATATTTTTTGGGTGCTATCAATGGCAGTGATGGCAAATGACCAGGTCATTTGACTAATTTTCAAATGACCCGAAGTCATGTCAAAATGACCTTGGTCATT